TGCTATATCTCAAAATGGGCAGTCTATTATTGTCATCACTATCACAAAACCCAGACCTGAAACTCTAATATCGATTAGGTTTGATCCTAATGAGCAGGATGTAGGAATCATCCCCTTGCAAAATCATTGCACATATTCTTCTTCGACAGTCCGAATGCACAATGCAAATGTGGAAAATTATGTAGAATTGCAAGCACACGCTAAGAAAGCTGTGAAATCGTCCGAGCCATTTTATCCGCCATAATCACATCGGCCTTGTCCGGTTGAAGACATAAAACTTAGTGCTTTTTGGGAGGCAACCTGACTTCTTTCTAATTTTGTTTAATTATTTTCTTTTGTTCGGGATTAATGGTGGTGTTTATTTCTTTACAATTTTGTTGTTTTCTAGTTTGGGTTATTTGGTGGTGTATTTAACTTCTATTTGTAGTTTTTTCTTGTCTTTTTATATTTTGAAAGGTTGGCTTCCTGAGCTTGACTATTAGATGGTTATTAGCAACTTCTCTTACCCCACTTGGTCTTTGGCACTCTATTTGTTATCAGGGAGTTCCACTTTCATCTCTTTTCTTGATATTATTCGTCTATTTTATCCTCAACATTGGGGACAATGTTGCCTTAAGTGTGGGGGAGAGATGAATGGGTGAAGTGAAATTTTGGTTGAAATTTTCAAAATTTTTGTTATTCCCTGAAAGGAAATGGCTTATATTTCATATTTTGTTATCGTTATGGCTTGGTATGCATGAATGTATTAAGTGTTGAACAATGTTACTTTAAATCACTTCTTTGGCGAATATTCGATAGTTTGAAACTTTTTCAATTTTTGGCTAACTTTTCTATGTGTTGTAAATTTTTTTTAGCATTTTTCTTGTGAATTTGGCCTAATTATTAATCTTAGCTCTCCATATTATTGGGATATGAAATAGGCTATTTGTGTTATTGTTTGTGCTTATATGCTTAGTTTATTATGTTAAGCTGTACTCCGCTAGTTCTCGTTATCTAGTAATTGGGAGTCTTCATTGAATAAATATCGACTTTCGCATCAAAAAATGGCGATAATTATGAGTATGTGATTCTTTAGCAGTGAAAATTAAGTATAACCAGCCTCTTTCATTTGGGAGATGTTGAAGTTCATGTCAAAAGGCCTGAACGGCTGAGAATTAAGTACATTCCCCTTATTAAAATACATAAAAAAATTTTAAGTGTGAGAGAATTTGCAAAAGAAAAGAGATAAATAAAGAAAAGCAAGGAAACAAAAATATGGATTATAATAATAGCCTCTGGATCATGGGGTTATATGTTTGAGATTTTACTAAATAGTTGGACCATTTGCTGAAAATTCTTGATAAATATTTTATATACTTGGTTTAGTTAGCCTAAGTCGAAAGCGTTGATAGTATTAAAAGCTAGCAGGAAAAGTGTTCCTTTAATTTTCACTATTGACACTTGACACTTGTTTAGAATAGTTGTTTTAATAATAATAGTCTTGAATATAGCCATTGTTTGTGTTTAATGAGTTTTGTTCTTGTAATTGAGGACAAGTATGGACAAAGTGTGAAGGAGTTTGATAGGGCATAAATTAATGTGCATTTATATGTATAGGTTGTTAGTTAACTATGTTATTTGAGTTATAATTAAAGTAAAAACCACTTAATTTTGCTCTTATGTGAATGGAAAGTTCAATCAGAAAGAAAGTAGACCAAAAACATGGTGCAAAGAAACAATGGAAGAGAAAAAAGTCAAGAGAAAGGGGTTTAGCAGGATTGATATGTTTCAATCTTTTGGCGATAACTTTAGCTACCAAAATCGGATTGAGATGATTCTTGATTCATTTTGAAATAAGAGACGATCTACAATTTTTAGGAAGACATTAGAATCCACTTCTCATGTTTTCATAGTAAAAATCCAAATTATTGAAGTATATTTGCACTACGATGCTCTTCCTACAAATTCTCAATATTTTGGGTATATCTTAGCATCCAGACCTCCAAATAACATGATTCTTGTGGAATTTGAAAGTTAATTGAAAGGACTACAACTTTTATGCTTGAGCAAGAGGTGATTCAACCTTCTTCATTGTGTAATTTGGCTTCAAATGTGATCTACGCATAGATCCTTATAGATCCGCCCATGGATCTCATGTTCAACGCTGGACATTGCAAGGGACTTCACACCTGACATTCTCAGATTCTGATGGTTCATAAGCTTTGAAACAAGTCAGGGCCAGACTTAGGGCTGATTTTTGGCTAAACTTCATTGGGAAACCCACTCATACTCAATTTTTGGCAACTTTTCAAAACCTATTCCTACCATATTTGGGATACAACTTTGAGAGACTATAAATAGGAGTACTTTTGGTCCTTTTTAAGGGAGAAAAACACTAGGTTAAGCTTTGTTAATCTTTTTTACATATTTTTCTTGAGACATCAAGAAGAAGTTATAGAAGAATCAAGGAGCAACCAACACGGGGATTGAAGCCGGACAATTGAGAAGTTTTCTTTTCTTTATTTCCCTTATTGTTGTTGTTGTTTCTTGAATTCTTGGCTTTAATTATGATTATGATGAACTAAATTATATCTGGAGTTAGGGTTTTGTGAAAAAGTTTTGATCATTCATCTTAGTTAAATTCTTAACTTTCGCCTTGATTTAATTACATGTTTATGCTTGGCTATCATAGACATGCTCTTAGGATTTGTATTGAACTAAGAAGGAATATACAACAGTACACTAGATAAATTAGTATACTTAATCTAATCACGAGAGTAGATTAGGATTTGTATGACATAACTATATTACCTAAGATTTTAAAAGGTTTAATTAAATACTTATGATCTCAAGCAAGATGTGAGATTTAACTAGGCACAACTTATATATATCGAGAGATAATCTCAGGCACTTGCATGTGATGCGTTTTTAGCATGTTAAGTAATTAACTAGATAATTAACTCAAACTCCAAATCAAAATCTAAAACCCCGGCTTTTTGCTAATTGTTTTCTCACCTGTATCTTATTTGATTTGATTATTTATTTAATTTCTCAAGTAGTGATTAAAACACCCTTTTAGTTTAAATTTTGTCATATTTATTAAATAGTTAAAGTAGAAAATTAAGTCAACCCTATGAGTTCGACCCTAAAATACTCCAGGTAATTCATTTCTACGATTGACCATATATGCTTGCAAGAATTCGTTGATCACACATATATATACACAAACATGCACACACACACATATATACTTACACACACATATACACACTTACACACACATGTAAGCACTAAATTTAGTTAATCATTTTCTCTCCTTTATGTGGTATGCCTAATAATATTGATACATCAAATCTACCATATTACCTTGTCCACGACTATACTGTTCACTTATGAGTAAATAGTTTTTCAGTTAAGACCTGTTTGATAACTCTACTTAATGCTGAAAAATATTCCATTTAGAAATTTTGAATTTAGCATGTTTGATATCTTAATTGTCTTATCACTTATTATTTTAAAGATTGCCTAGTTTGTCTACAAAATTTTAAGTGAAATTTTTTTTTTTTTTACAGAATTTTCTGAATTGACTTCGCATGCTAACCTCTCACATATATAACACATTCTCATTCATACTCTTACACACCAAAAAAAATTGCATTTTCTCTCTATCTATTTGACGCACACACACCCGCACATAAATACACATACTCACACACCATGTTTAATTTGTTTCTTTATTTTCTCTCTGTTTCTCACACATACACACACGCACTTTCCTTTCTCTCCAAATACATAAATAAAGAAAATTTTTTAAAGATAAAAATATAATATGTGTGTGATATTTCAACTCAAAGCTATAATTGAGGTAATTATTAAACAAAAATATCTTTATCAATTCAGCAATTTCATACTTTCAGCACTTAATTTTTATATTTCAAAATTTAGATTGTAGACTTCAGTCTTATCAAATGAGCCATTCTCGGGCTAAAGAAAAGTAGAGGATTGTATGGCATTCCCGAGCCTCCCTATGCCATTCCCGCGTATGCTTGTTGGAACTTACTGGATTCTTTCTTTCTCTATTTACTTTTTATGTAAAGATTTGTAATACTTTGAATTTCAGATTGCGCTTTAATGATTTTTTTCTTAATATTAAAAGTTATAGCTCAATATTTTGATTGATTTTTTTGTCATATAATTAGAAATTTTGAATGAAAACCAACACTTGCAAAAGAACAGTTGGAAAGACAGAACTAGGATAAGGACTTGAGTAATGGGGAGATTTTTTGCAAGATTAGACGTGGACGTGGGATAGGACCAGCCACATTGTATTTTTTGTATTAAATTATTTCACAAAAGTTGAATAATAATCAACGCCTACATATAACTACTTGAAAACAAGATCAGGAGTGCAAGATAGAGTAGGAGGCATTTCAAGATTGGGTAGGATGGGAACCCACCGCATTGAACTTTTATGGTCCCCGCCAGATTGCCTTTCATATGTACAGGAATCTTTGCAGTCCAAAGACTTAGTAAACTAATTGATTAGGCATATACGGATGGATTAAAGTCCAGATTGTGCTAGTCCAAAGACTTGCGTAGTGAACGAGTCAATCAATTGGAGAAACGTCCAAATACCAAGCTTTTTAGGCAACTAGCTAGGTACAATGCAATAAATCTGAGTTGTGTTATTCATGGTACTAAATATGTGTAAGACGATTAACATGCTGTGCCTCTTTTACATCTATCTGTTCCAGGCAAATTGAATGGATAGCTCCTTAGACATATAATGAGCATCCAGGAAATTGTTATCAAGCTAATTTTGAAGTTTGATGGAAGAATTGAATGAAATTAACAATTGAGTTCTTCAACATGTGACAATAATGTGAGTCCTTTTGGAATAAACAACCAAATAGTTTCTAGCTCTGGTCAGTTTATGGATGAAGCTCCTGTGCTCTTGGCTATCTTTGCTCTTTTTCGCAAGTATGGTGGGATGATTAATGCACAGTTGCTATTAATGAATCTTTTTACAAGACATAACGAGACTAGATCATAGATCATACAGAAAGGAGAAAAGTAACAAACTAGCAATATTGAAACCTTGCATATCCAAGATCTCAGCTACAGAAATAAAGAGTACAAGGGGTTCTAGTGGGCAGAAAGATAAGAAAAATTGACAAGATTTGACAGAAAATGCACTCAACAAAATAAGTACAGGAATAGACGCTCTCTTTTTTTCTTTTTTTTCTTTTCTTCCCTAAATTTAATAAATCGGAAATATAAGCATCTTAATTACCGACCGCCAGAGAGAACAGAATCTGCTACATGTGAGAAACTTTTGTCTGTGGAAGTTGCAAATGACGATGTAATATCTTTAAAGCCAGCAGGATGCGCGGGGCCAAGACCAACAGCAGAAACGCTCATGGCCAGCGATGATAATTCTGGCAGGGCAAGTGATCCCTCCAAGTACAACAGAACTTGCCTCATACTTGGCCTAATCTTTGGTTCTGAATGAGAGCACAATAAGCCTAGTTTCAACACCAATTCTGCTTCCTCTTTCACATACTCAGCCCCCAACTTTCGATCAACAGCTTGGAGAATATTTCCTGCTTTCCAACACAAAAATATCCAATCTACCAAAACGATATTCTCTGGTGGTTCTGCTCGTGGTTCTATTGGCCTTCTTCCACAGGCAACTTCTAGCAAAAAGGCCCCAAAAGCATATACATCAGTGCTTGTTGTGGCCCTCCCTGTCCTGTTATGCTCAGGGGCAAGGTAGCCAAGAGATCCTGCTACATGGGTGCTTTGAGGGAGAGTTCCATGATCGTATAGCCTTGCCAGGCCAAAATCTCCTAATCTTCCATTCAGTTCAGCATCCAACAATACATTACTGGCTTTTACATCTCTGTGGATCACAACTTTCTCCCATTCTTCATGTAGATAAAATAATCCTGATGCTACACCTTTGATGACTCGCAATCTTTGGCTCCAGTTGAGGATATACTTGGGCTGGTTATACAAAAACTTATCTAGACTGCCATTGGGCATGAACTCGTATACCAAAAGTAACTCTCCTTTACGCCGACAATAACCCAAGAATGGTACTAAATTTCTATTGCGTAAGCGACCAATACTGATGATTTCTGCAACAAATTCTCTCATTCCCTGTCTTCCTTGATGAGAGACCTTCTTGACAGCAACCTCAACCTTGTTTGCTGTCAAAATGCCTTTGTAGACCCTGCCAAATCCGCCTTCTCCCAACAGCTCTTTTTCTCTGAACCCCTTGGTGGCAATGTATAAATCCTTATACTTGAACCTGTGAGGTCCATAAGCAAGCTCCCATTCTTCCAGCACTTCTGCAAACTTCCACTTTCTCCATAGATAATAAGCTACTCCAGATGTTAGTATTATCAACACAAGTACACAAATCAGGGGCAATCCCATGGTGAAAATTTTAGACACTTTCTTATGTCCAATCCGAGGTAGCTTGGGGAGCCGAGAGAGATTAAGAGCTTGTGCAACGCCATTCATCCTGAAGCTCCATCCAAGTATAAAATTAGTTATTCCTGTTTTGAGTGGACTAGAGACTGCCGAAAAGCCAACATACATGGTCTGCTGTAAAATTGGCGAAAGATCATATTTCAAAGACAAAAGAGGAGTATGTGGTTTAGCAGCCTCTATTGGAGCTAATGTTACATTGATTCTCCTATCCACCCCGTCGTATTCCACCCAAAGCTGCATCGGTTGACCGCTGATGAGAGTTAAGTTGTCAAATGAACTCTTGTTATTAGCTTGGTAACTCGCTGGCGCGGATGCCTTGGAGATCATAGAGTTAATATCAATACCAACATGGTTGTCATTGATATCTTCAATTTCTTGGTCTTGGTAAATGTCAAGCTCCACAGCAAAAACGTGATTTGTTTGATTTCCAGTGGTGTTTGTATCGAAGAGGCCAAGGAACTGATCGGAAGGCACTTGTGCAAGTTTTCTTCTTGGTGCAACCGCGAATGCCATTCCCGTACCAGTCACGCCTGGGACATCGGGTACTATAGCAAACACAAATTGGGTGGAAAAGGAGAAAGCTGAACTATTAGATGTGGCCTTGAAGTTGATGGGATTAGGATAGAAGGCGTACCCAGTTTGTAATATGGTGCTGTTGGTTACTCGTAGGAGGCCATTTTTGGTGACTGTGGCTAATCCATCCAGGCTTAGATTTGATGATTGAAATCCTTGATAGATGAACCCAACATCATCAGAAGCTGCTGCACCAACTGCGATGTGAACGAAAAAATAGGCTACGACTGCTGTTACTGGTTTCAACGACATGATTAAAGAGTTGGATGCTAATCGCCAAATTCTTCTTAATTTGGTAGCTTATATCATACTATCTAGCGTTGCTATTTCTTCACACTCCTTTCGGATATCACAAACAGACTTTGGCTGCGATAGGGGTCTTTTTTAATTGTGCGGTGGTTCTATATACTCCACCGTTCCATTAAAAATATCATACATTTTCTATTTTGATCTGTTCCAAAATTCTTATTAGTTAATTTAAATGAAAAATATATTATCTTGTGAACCCCTTGGTGCCAAATACGCCTTTGTGCAAATGGTGCAATTATGAATAAAATTCTATTTTCCTTTAAGGAGCCGTTCCCTTTATTTTTTGTCTCTTAGTAATAGCAGTGGTTCAAAGTTTTCAAGTTAATATAATAGTCTAACGGTCTGAAAAACTTATTTCACCATCTAACCATGAATTTAACTTGAGGTATGATACCAAAAGAGGATTGTACAATCTCTCAATACTTATATTAGCATAAGTTTACTATGTGTTATAGATTTTTGGGATAGCTAAATGTTTGCAATGAGTACACCACTTTATTCAATATTAAATAATTTAAAAAGAATTATCTACAAATTTTTTTAATTGCAATTATTATAAGGTCATCTAATGGTGTAAAATAACATAATGAATAAAACTATGCATAAACAATTGTATAATAGTGCACAATATTTAAATTATGCATTGAGTAGTAGATGTATATTTTCATATATAGACAAATACTGTATTGATAGTCAAACTAGCAAATGAATGTTGCTAACTTGTAATTCATAAGGCTATGAAAAGTTTAATGTTATACGAATAAAATTTGTTAGTAAAAATAGCATTATATATATTTTATTTTAATGTTGCATTATAGAAATGATGGTGGTATATATACAAAATTTTAAAACTTTTGGAGGGCAATTGTGGGGTTAGAGAGAATATTATCAAATTTCAAGAGGGCAAAAATGAGGCAACAATAGAAAAAGGTGCAAAATGGCTATTCTGAAAATTCTATAAAACTGAGTGGCGCAAAATGGCTCTGCCCCAGTCTGGGACCGGGAGTGTCATGTTTCAAAGAGTTCTCAAAAAGTTTATGACATTCACGAAGCGATGTTTCAAAGAGCGTGCATACACGAGATGCTGTAGAACACTCAGAGATTTACTACAACACTTTAACCCCACGTGCCTTTTCTTATTTTCCCCAGTGAATCTTTAGGGAAAGAAAAGGGAACTAATGCGAAACAAATAGGAGCGTAAAAAAATCCAAAAAATTGAATGCCCTAGCGTTCAAGATTTTTTTTGACTATTTTGAAGAGATTGAAATTGATGCGAGACGCGGAAGCTACTTCGGATCTAGAGGAACACGTTGATGATTTGATGGAGTTGAACTCGAACTTGGACCACTCAAGAACAGATTCAACGATAGAGGACGCCACAATCAAGTGTGTGTGTTTGATTGATAAGTCAAGAGCAACCTAGGATCAATTCTAGGATGTTCAACTTAGTTTTCTCAAACTAAGGGATTTTTGCCACAAGGAATGGATGAAATTCTGGGAATTTTATTCAATAATCTCAAAAACTCCATGTAACATCCGACTTGAGGCTATTTATAGCCATGACGAAGACCTAATAAACTGAAAAAATAACAAGGAAAATTTGGCCAGCCCCTTGGGCCTTCCCTTGGCGAGACTCCCGTACAACTCAGCGGAGCGCATCTTCAATTGTAAACAACACTTTAGTCGTCTTGTAAGGATCTTCCAACTCAATCCCTTCAATGGGCGGTTTCTCTTGGGCTTGGACGGCATGAACCAAGGCTTGAAACGACTCCTTGAATTTCTTATCTCGTGCTCGTGTCACTGGACCTTGGAGCACCTTCACAGGGTCTACTGGAGCACCATGGGTCTCGTGTTCAACCGCATCAGAAATTTTGTTCAATTAACTTTTTGAATTGAATTTAAACGAGTTTTTATTGAATAGAATTTGAATTGAGTTTGAGTAGCTTGAACATTTTACGTATAAATTTCATTTATATGCTAAACGGGTCGAACCCCCAACACTAATAGAGTAATTGGCACTTTGCTTCTTAAATTATAAATTGTTATCCATTTAAATGCAATTTTTGATGGCATTCCCAACACTAACAGAGTAATTGGCATATTCCATTAACTTACAAGTGTAACTAAAATAAACAAAATTTTATGGGGATAAAAATGTAAATTCGTGAGACAAAAGAAAGCCTCTTAATCCGATTCTTTTGCTATATCTTCTTTTTCATGGCTTCAAATGTTCTGTCCCCAAATTAGTCTCTATATCATCTGTCCCTTCTTTGTACAGCTGTCACGTGTTTCTAACTTTTTGATAAGCCAAACTCAAATAAATCGATAATAATCGGTTGACAAGTTTACTAAAAATCAATTAAAACAGATAACTCAAAACTTTTTTTAAATTTTCTCTTTACATAAATTCAAATTTACGACAAGGTGGGAACTTGCTCTCAAGGGAATCATCACACTCCATGATCTACAATTTTAAAAAAATTTTAGTAGTTAATTTTACGATTTCGTATCAGTACTTGTTTTGTTGTTTACAAAATTAATTTTTAACTCATTACAAGAAATTTCCACAAAAAATAGTAAAAAGAAAAAAGTAAACAATTGTTCAATATCTACGAAGTAATTAAATACAAATAAACCCGCTTAGATATCGAATGGCATTGGTAAAAAATAAAAGCTTTTAACTATAAAGTTATCACTGAAAAAGTTTACTTCAATCACTCATTGACTACTAAAGGCTTTACGGTATTACTGGAACATGACTACTAAAGGCAAGCTTTACGATGTTACCGGAACTTCATGCCTGAACAATTAGATCTAGTTTATTAACTAAATTAACTTCACAATACATATAAATACTTATATGAACAATGATGTTGATTGGGATTGTACAATATTTTTCCTATTGCATACAAGTTCCAATGAGTACAGGTAATTCCTAATATAATCAGACAGATCATGAATCAAATATATTGTAAAATTGGCATACATGATCTACTGCTTTGCTTTACTTGGATAAAGATGAAATTGAATCTTCGCTACAATAAAAATGGTCTTTCCTGACATGTCTGTAAGGACACTTGTTGGTTTGTGTCATTATAGCACTCCTATCATGACACTTATTAGCAATTCAATAATATATACTCTAATTTTTTTTATTTTATCAGATATAAAAATAATAATGTGCCTTTAGACTATCTAACATGACACTTGAGAAAATGTAAGATATACCAAAAAAAAAAGAAAGACACTAAACGGGATCGTTTGATTTTGGCGGAAGATTCATTTGCTCTAAAACACTCAAAATTTTCATTCTGCCGGCCAAAACGCTTACTCAAAACACTTGCTCAAAATTTTCATTTTCCAGCTCCACCATTTCCAGCCTCCCTCTCTCTGTCTCTCTATCTCTCTGTTGTCAGATTCCGATGTAGTTGGTGGGAAAAATGGGTAGCAGCCAGGCAGCAGTTTCCATAAAGCTTCAACTGTGGCTCCCTCAGGCAGCTAACAGCAGCATCAGCAACAAAATCTCTCTCGAAGGAAACCCACTTCCGGGTCATCATCTTCTTCTTCTTCGAATTCGGCTCAACAAATTTCTCCCCCGACTCGAGTAGTTCATCGAGAATCGTCTTCCAAGTCCAATCTCAATTTGCCCTTTTGGCAAACTACCTAGTTCATTGGCTTACTTTTACTAATGGCAATCTCGTTTTTCAGTCTCGCCATATTCCTTTTTCTTACCCTTGACTCCGATTTCACCTCTTCCCCTGTCTCTACCGCTTCCGAAGGCGTCCAAGTAAGACGAAAGCCCACTTACTACTTCAAATTCGTGGTTTTTGCGTTCCTGTAGTTGCACAGATATGTGGTGCATCTTTGTGTGTGTGTGTGTGTGTGTTTTTCCCCCTATTTGTTGAAATTGTACTCGGAAAGTTGTTTTATAGTTATTTTTGGTTCAAAATTTGGACCAAGTTTGTGCTATTATAGGCATGTGATGGTTATAAATTATAGCGTTTCAGAGGTTTATAAGCTAAAAGAGGACAGGGAAAGAGGAAATGGAGTTGTTTGTGTAGAATTAGTAATAGCCTTCGACATGTTTGATGAAATGCCTCAATAATCTTTGTTGAAAATCTAGCTGGGCATGTGACCACTTTTTGGTCTGCCTTCGGATGTACAAACAGTAGCTGATTGCAAAAAATGGACAAAGGCAAGTCGTAAAGCTGCACGACTCTAGGCAGCTAAAGATGCTGCACCTGTTAGGGTTGAGATCTTGGAAGTTGGCGAAGAAGGTATGCTAACAGAGGAGTTGGCGCACAACTTGGTCATTAGTGAAGGTGAGATTTTTAGATCTTTATACTCAAAGGGAATCAAACCTGATGGTGTGCAAACTCTCAGCAAAGACATGGTGAAGATGATCTATCAGGAGTATGATGTTGAAGTTATTGATGCTGACCTTGTGAAAGTGGAGGAAATGGCAAAAAAAGGAAATTTTTGATGAAGATGATGTCTACAAGTTGGAAGACAGGCCTCCTGTTCTGACCATCATGGGACACGTGGACCATGGGAAAGTAAGCAACAAAATTTTTTCTTGTAGTTGGTTTCAAGAAGCATTATGTGTGTCGCCAGTTAATGGATCTTTTTTGAAGTCATTATGATCTCACCCAAGAAATAATTTTACCTTTCTTTGTTATTTGATTGTTGCCTATGAACATTTTGTGTGCTTCCAGTTAATTGATCTTTAGGAGAGTCATTCTAGATTTATTGTCCCATAACAATCTTTAGCTAATATATTACTGGTTTTCTTTTGGGTTGGCAGACCACACTTTTGGATTACATCAGGAAAAGCAAGGTATGAATCGATTATTTTTATTGATGTTCACGTTGAGGTACATTTTTTGTAATGCCATTATGATTTGATGACTTTAGAAGAAGTACCTTATTCTGTCTTATGTTATGATACTTGAATAGCTGGGAACTAAATCTTAGACAACCTACTGTAGGTGGCAGCATCTGAAGCAGGTGGAATTACTCAAGGCATGGGGGCATACAAGGTACAAGTACCTTTTGATGGCAAGCCATAGACTTGTGTTTTCCTTGACACCCCTGGACATGAGGTAATTAATGATGTAGCACTGGTTATAACTTTTAACTGCTTATTCATGCAAGTTTTTTTTTGCTTTTTAAAATTTTTATGTCAAATGCTCTTCTTGGAGATTTTGCAGACATATCTTAAAAGGCCTTTGTCAAGATGAATTATCTAACATAACTGTACAAATGGTTGGATAGGCATTTGGAGCAATGAGAGCTCGTGGAGCCAGAGTAACAGACATTGCTGTTATTGTAGTTGCTACTGATGATGGAATTCGACCTCAAACAGAAGAGGCCATTGCTCATGCCACAGCAGCTGGAATGCCAATTGTTATTGCTATAAACAAAGTGCGCTTGCATTTATTCTGAGATTTTCCACTGTGTGTTGGCTTGTATATCATTTAGTCTCATTTGCATTCTGCTTTTGATGTATGAAACATGATGACAAATCTCCTCTTGCTTATGGGAGTTGGCATTTTCAGTTCTCATAATCACAATACTGCTCAAGTTTGATGTTTCTAGATTTTTACATCATAGCATATTATCTTATATGCATTCTATTTTTTGGAATAATATTAAAAGTCTTTGGATTTCTGATTAACGGAATGTAGAGCAGGGAGCACTACCTGCAGGTTGCTTCTATTTAAAGAAAAAAAATAACTCCTGGCAATTAAATGTGTCAACATAGAATTCGATATTCTAATGTTGTACTATACCTATCCTGACACTTTCAATTATCAAGAAAAGAGATTTTTGTTGGTAGATGGGATGTTATAACAGCATAGTTTTCCTGACATGTTGAATAGTATGAGTCTATCCCCACATTGGAAGGGACAACACTCGCCCTAGGTGTGAGGATAGATAAAGTGTTAGGTTAGATTATCTATACTGACACTTTTAAATGCCGTTAAAGGCCATTTTTGTTGTAGTGCTTGTTCCTTGATCCTTTGAGCATTTTTGTTGCAAGATTAAAGATATAATGAATGAATCAAAGTACTTGTTAGGGTTTAAGAAAAAGATGATTTGGGGTAAAAAATAAAGAAGCGTTTTAGTTGATTTCTACGTTTACGATCAACAAGACTCTTTTTTGTTAAAAAGAAAAATAAAAAAAGTTTTGAGATATCTGTTTTAATTGATTTTGAATAAACTTGACAACCAATTACTTTCAGTTTGTTTGAATTTGGTCGTAAATTTGAATTTACGGAAAGAGAAAATAAAAAAAAAATTGAGTTATCTGTTTTAATTGGTTCTGAGTAAACTTGTCAACCGATTATTATCGGTTTGTTTAACAGGTTGTCGATGCCTGTGCAATAATAATAATAAAAGTTCTAGTTGCCAACAAAAGCAGTCTCGAGTCAATTCTAGTATTGGAGCAGGGACTTTGGATGTACAATGGGTTACTAGATTCACCCTAACTCCGAAGAGTTTGCTTAATCCGATATACCAGAATTTATTCGCAAAAACTTGTTAATTTGTATATAGGGCAAGTAGGGTCATATCCTCAGGAATTAGGGATATTTGTCTCTTTGAAGTTCAAATTGACAATGGGGGATTTTAGGGAAATTAGCAATAAGCTATACTAATCAAATATTGCAGTTAAACTAAATAAAAATTAAATAACAATAAGGTAAAAACTCAAATAGTATTGGACAGCTCTAGTCAAGAAGTAACTTCGGAAATGGCTCTTCTAGTTGATCATCGATGTAAGAATAATTCCACATATAAACTGATAAACAAGTTATAATTATCAAACAAGCGATGACAATCAATTTTTTTGTAATTATCGATAGTTAAGGTACGACTGTTAGATATTACCCTAATTGCAAAATAATCTTAAGTACGACCGTAGAATTAAATTTCACAATTGCTTTAAGATTTAGAGAATTAGAGAAACCCTGTTTTAACCAAACAACACGCTACGAGGGTTGTTTATAAATTAGCCCGTATATTCTCCTGACATAACCCCGATTATACCAGTTGCCACTAATTTAGAACAATCAAACAATTACGAATCCAATTATTCTAATTGGCTCTAGGTTATTGAATTAATTTAACATCCGGGCCCGAGACAACTGAATAATACAGCAACTATAAGAAAATAAAACAATACCAGAAAATAATAGGAAAACTAAAATCAGTTAGAACTCACAATTTAAGTCGAACCAAATCCTCCGTTGTTCCTTGACTAGAAGTATAGGCTTAGCTCATCTCTGTTGAGAAAAATTCATGCAAAATTCTAGAATTAATTGTTGCATACATCATCTCTCAATTGAGAGGAGCAATCCGATGGAATAAGCCATAAGAATAAGATGCAAAAGTCAAAATCCAAAGTAGTCAAGAATGTCTGCTATTCTACTATCTAAATCCTATTATTAATTGTCTGCCCACCATACGGCTAATAGGAAAGAAAGAGGGAAAAGAGTCCTAGTCTTTGTTGACTTCCTTCCTCTGTGGAAACTACCAAAAGAACAGAAAAAGAAAGTGTCCTCCTTTCTCTCCAAGTCTGACGCATATCCTCCAATAGATAAGGAAACCGAATTGAATTAGTCTCCAAAAATTGACTGCTACTCAAATTCCCTTGTTTGCGCCTTGTTTGTGCCTTTTTACCATATTTTATCCCAACTCCCTGCAATCAATGCAAATTTCCAAAAGTGAGTAGAATCAGACAATTAATCCACATTTGGTAAGGTAATAGGGAAAATTAATTATAAAATAAATGACAAAATTGCAACTTATCAATTCCCCCCATACCTAGACCATGTTTGTCCTCAAACAAAAGAACAATAAACAAACACTAATTTCTGACAAGGGCTATCACTCCATCTATCTTATTGCTAAGATACCAAGAAAAACACCTATCAAGTATCAGTGGTCAAGATCCAGGAAATTGACATGTGCCGAACCTGTGCAATAATAAATACCTGCTTAAATAAAATATAATTTCTGTAGATAGTGATAAGCAGGGTCGAATCTACAGGGACTGGGGATAATTTATTTCTTTTAGAGTCCGAAGTATGGGGGGTTTTTTGAAAATGAGAGTAACTAAATTACTTGAAATAAATTAAAATAAAATAAAATAACTACAACTCAAATAACTAATTATCACAATAAAAATAATAATGGACGAACTCTAGCCAAGAGACAACTTCGGAGATGATTCACTTAATTCGATCACAGATGCAAGGATTATTCCAGTTACTATCCGATAAATTAGTTATAGTTGTCATACACGCGATAAACAACCAACTCTTCCTCAATTTGTCAATAGCCAAGGTACGACCGTTGACTATTTCTCTAATCAGGAAACAACCCTAGGTACGACCATAGAAGTTCAATTCTCTAATTGCATGAATAATTAGAAGAGCCTAATTCTAACCAATCAACACGCTACGAGGGTCTCTTTAAGTTAGCCTGTCTATCTCCCTGACACAAACCCAATCATGCCAGTTGCCACTAGTTTAGAATAATTAAACAATTACGGATTTAACTACCCTAATTGGCTTCAGGTTATTGAATTAATCTAGAATCCGGGCCCTGGATAATCGAATAATAAAACAACCATATGAACATAAAGCAGAAGATAGACGAATACCAGTGAATAATGGAAATAAATAAAAACTAATTCGATCTCACAAATTTAGTAGAACCAAATCCTCCGTTGTTCTTGACTAGACAAACTTAGCCACGCCTCATGAGAAAATCTCCAAGTAATTTCACTGAGGTCCAGGCCATCAAAAGAGCCAAGGAAAGAAAACTAAAACTATGCTAAAAGCCTAAGCTAAAACTATTGATTCCCTAACCTCCTGTACGTTTGTCCTCTTAAAAAGCCAAAAGGAAATGGCACAACCCAATCTAGTCCGTGGTCCCCGCCGAAAACAAGAGTCCCAAACCGAATTCTTCTCTACTTTCCGTTTGGTAGGAGGACTCCTACTACAAGTCAACTCCCCATAGTAAGAACTACCCATCAGTAACTGAAAATGGAGTTCCCTTGTAACACCATGTGGGCCCAACTTGTAAATCCGCTGGAGGCTTAACGTGTGGAGGATTTTTCTCAGTAAAATTTCCCTTTTAGCACTGGTCAACTCCACTTCCTGTAGATAGGTCCAAATACCAAAAATAAGTATATATCAACAATTTAAAACATTATTTGGCAAGGATAAATGGGAAAATTGATAATAAAATTACTAACAATTAACACCCTATCAATTCCCCCCACACCTAAATCATGCTTGCCCTCAAGCATGAGAACAGCAATTGAATACCAAAATTTTGACAATGGCTATCGCTCCAACTACCGTATTGCCAAGATACCCAGAAAAACATATATCACGCATCACAGTTAAGATCTAAGAAAGACCACTCCGGTTAGCTTCCCAACCACCAACTCCTCCAATTTAAAGCAAACTAATCTAAGAAAAAGGAATGGTTGCTCACATTTATCAGTAAATGGTCCAGCTATTAACCAAAATCTCGACATTAAAATCATAAACCGGCAAGCTGACTTATTCACATACTAACACAATCTTTACTTCACTTCTTTTTCCTTTTTTTTTCTTTTTTTTTTTGAATAACAAAAGACTTAGTCTATAGCCCTTAGAGCCTTTTGACGCGAACTCCAACATTTGCCAGATGGAGGAGCCCGGTTACTCAGCTCCAATTGCTACGGGACCACGCACTCATAGCAACTACTACCTTTTGACGCGAAAATCAACACTTTAGGTGAAGATCCCCGGTTACTTAGTAGTAACCACTAGCGGAGTACAGTCAACTCTTATTTACAACCATATAGCATGATATCTAAAAGCAACACAAGAATAACAGCAGCCAGCCTCAAATTTCCAGACATGGAGAACTAAAATTAATAACTGGACCAATTCACATGAAAAATGCCAACAATCATTCCCTATGCCTAGAAAAGTTAACCAAAAATTGAAAAAGTTAAGCAATTATTGATATTCACCAAAGAGATGTTCCTGAACTCAACCACATCAACTTGATACCTTTTTATTAATAAACTTGGCAATAGCAGAATTAGAGACAACAATCCAGCATCAAACTTGGTATTCATATGAAGACTGACCACTAAAAAGAAAGAAAAGGAAATAAACGAAAAATAGAACAAATAACAAAAATAAAGGAAAACATGTAAAAACTAAAAATTAGAAATACTAGCTGCACCACAGCTGTCCCCCCCACACCTGTGTCCGACATTGCCCTCGATGGAGGTAATATAGCAATTAAAGTGAAGAGAAAAACGAAACTTCCCTCTCAAGTGGCTACGGGATAGGCGGGAACGGGGGAGTGAAGCAGACATGGTGGAAGTACGCGGCCAAGTTCTTAGAGATTGGAGCCATCTGGTTGGCGATATGCATTACTTGCTCATCCGCATGGTGAACCTGATCTCGGAAGTGGCGCCACTTAGCATCAGAGGCCATCGGTGGGAGAGGCCACTTAGCAAATTCAAAACAATAACAATTTAATAGCCACTG